GGTTGCTCGACATTAGACATGATCTGCGCGTGTGCATGTAATTTATAGCCATCACCGGGTTGACAGACACAAGTGCAGACGCTCCTGTCAACGTCTCACAAGATCTGGTAGATAAGAGGGTCATCTTTGACATTTTTGTCGCCTAGCTGTAAAAGTGAAGCCCCATATGCCCATTTCGATGGGTATTCCGTTGTCATTTGTGGCTCTACCGAGGTAGATGCAGGTCAACAATCGGACTTGGTGACCATTTCGACTGAAAATGGGAGCCGTATGAGGGGGCGGCCTATGTGTCCACAGGTTCACATGATGAACCTGCAGGCGCAGTCTAGTCAGTTCATTAATGAGGAACCAGCCATGATTTGAAAGACTTAGATCGGGTCATATTGGCATAGCAGACACTGCACCCAAGTCTACTTCCCTTCGTTCCTGTCTAGGCTTACTAGTGGAGCACGACGACTGTTTGAAGAGCAGGGAAGGTCGGTGGTGCTTAAATGTAAACCCAGTTACGCACAATAGTCCGCTACTGCCCCCGCCCGAGACAGTACTAACTGTCGTTACAATATTCTGGACGATCTATTGACTTTTCCGCCAAGTAATAGAAAATTCCTTCTTGTTCATGAGGGCCACAAAGCGATGATAAAAAGGAGACTCGATAATCTGAAAAAGAATCCCGTAGCGGGTGCCAGATTTAATATCAAAGGTCCAGCGAATAAAACCCAGCTTCCAGCTACTGTGCATCCTTTCCATTTTATGCTTGGTCATTTTATGTAAAAGACATTCGGTAGGGGGCGAGGGGTTCTAGTTGGTTTAGTGGTTATTTTGCCCCTAGGTTTGCGTAGATCGATTTTGAATTCGCACCAGTCCATCGTTGTATGCGTCTTCACCCAGAAATCTTGAACTATTTAGTGTAAAGAGCGAAAGAGAAGAAAAACGTTGTATCGACAAAGACCAGGAAGACCAGAATGGCTACTTCCGGCTTATTATCCGTCAGCAGCCAGTCATATCCAATCTCAAGCGTGGGACACCTAAAATTCAGACCCGGGATCCCTTGGTCGTGGGGTCAAATTCCAGGTGCTCCACACTTGGTATTGTATACGATTGGCTGATGATGGCTAACCGGCCATAAGAAACGTTCCGGTCTCTCTTGCTGTCCTCTGTAGTCCATAAACTGCATGTGTCACCAGTCGCCAGGCCACAGCTTTCGAGAACTCAAAATTGAGCTCTAGGCACGACAGGATGAGCATATACCATAATTTGGTCAGCGAACGTCTATCCATCAGAAAAGAAGTTCTTTTCGCATTTTCGAGTACCCTATGTGGAGCTAGTAATTTTATAAATGTTGTGCACTTTTAATAAAAAGTTATGTGGTTAGACATTGGCTAAATTTTTATTAAAACAGGAAATGAGGTATATGTAATATAATCAGGAGTCCGGAGGGGGAGTTTATGTTCACGTCTGAATATTCTTCTCCTTGGAGACATTGCTCGCCTTAGGCCTCCGATGAGCTGGTCTCATCCATGATAAATTCCAGATTCTCATCGTAATCCTCACATGGTTGCCCAATAATCCCGCAAGTACCAGGTAGGTTTTTCCTTGAAATTTTAATTTAAACCACAGAGTTGCATATTATCTGGCCAAGGAAGATTCAATTTTTGAATAACTATCTATGTATTGTAGTAGACAAACGTTCACCGATCGGTTACAGGACTCACTGTGCCTTGGGGCTTTCTCAAGCCCTACCAGCAGCAGTGCGGCGGCTAATGGTATAGGCAGAATGACATTACCGACAGTCTTTGTCTTTGTCGGTAATGCCGTTATGCATATATGCATTGACGTCTAATAAGTCAGACCTGGCCATTCCAGCCTCCGGTATCTTTTTTGGTAATGTATTTCCGCATATATATAATATAGATTGAACAAATACAGTCTGCTGCTGTACTTACTTCAGATCGTCTGGTAGAGGCTTCGCAACCCTCGGCGACCGTGCCAAGTAAGCAGTAATGAGCGGTGATTTGAGCCTGTGAATTTGCGTAGAAAGTCAGTCGTCAATTGGCGATTAAGCTGACTTACGTGGCCACTGTTTTAGTCGCAAGTGGGGGTTTCCTTGTTTTGTTATGTTCTCTGGTAAATACTCTTTCGAACTGTTCTTCTTCTTCTTCAGTTTTTCTGACACTACTGAAGGGAGTGCAGCCCATGAGACTGAAAAAAAGACAGCATAGGTAGGGAAAATATTAATTTTACATACATGGGACCAAGATAAATTGGGCTAATATTGGTTGACAGTTGGAATTATGATTCAAAATTTCAGAGGA